CTATTTATAGTTTCAATATTGAAATCAGACAAAAAAAGAACAGTATCATCAGCATATATTAAAATATTTGAATACTTCAATATTTTTGGAAGGTCATTTATGTATAATAGGAAAAGCAATGGGCCCAGTATGCTACCCTGCGGAACTCCCACGGAACAGGGTGGAGACCCGGACACAGAGCTTCCATGTTTCACAACCTGACACCTATCGGTCAAATAAGAGGAAAACATTTGTATTGCAGATGATGAAAGTTGAAAAGAAATCAACTTTTGTAAGAGAGTATAATGATCAACTGTGTCAAACGCTTTACGAAAATTTATATATACAGCACCAGTTACTTGACCTTTGTTCAAAGCAGCACGTATTTGTTCAGTGAATAAAATTAATGCAGACATGATCGACCTTGACGTGCGGAAACCATGTTGACTATTGCTTAGCATATTATTAGCTTCTAGATGCTGAAGTAGTTGATTAAATAATGTTTTTTCAAGTAACTTAGAAAAAATAGGAAGAACAGAAATTGGCAGATAGTTTGAAACTTCTGTTGGATCACCAGATTTAAAAATGGGAGTAATCTGATCAAACTTCCAGGCATCAGGGAAAAAAGACTGCACAATACATGAATTAAGCAAATGATGAAACAATGGTAAAAAAGTGTTGGCATGCATTTTCAAGAAATCCATWTTTATCTTATATTTGTCAAATGCATGTGAGCCATTTAGAGATTGGAGTGTATTCAAAACATCACTCTGTGAAATTTCAGAAAATGAAAATTGCTTTGAAGTGTCAGGATATTTAAATAACTTTAAACTATTAGCTTGTCCCAGAAATGATGATTACCCAATAAAAATAAGGGTTTTTATCTGTAAGTGTGTTCAGATTTTTACACTTAAGATTCATAAGCTCTTTCAGCTATTAGTCCAAGCTGTGCAAGTTGTGGATCCAGTAATCAGGACAATGAACAATTACAGGCATTGAAAAAAAAACCTGCTCAGTAACTTGATGCAGGAATTCTGTGTCTGCGTATCTTGTTTTCCTATCCTGTCCTTTTTTCAATGTGGGGAACCAAATACCTGTAGAAAGGTTTCACGCTATATAAAACCGCACAGAAAATAATGCCCTCATGGGTCTTCTCCTTGGTGAAAAGTTTACTGTCACAGTGATAGCCTGCAAGACCAGATTTACTGAGATCAAGTGAAAAATGGAAGAAAGAGAGACAAACTTTTTATATATGCACAAATCATCTGAAAATGAGATGACTGTCAACAGTGAGTCTATAGGATTTTTAAAATCACAGTGGAATTTATACCAAGATACTTGCAAATATTTAGTAATCTGTATGAACCTAAAACAAACTAGCTTTTGCATCATTTCATGTCGTCTGATTTTGTGTTTTACAGGGAGCGTTGATGCAAACCTGCTGAGTTCTGTCAAAAACAGCGCCATTATGGGAGATTTTAGGGAGTCTTCCACATGCTCAAGTAAGTACTTATGAGTTTATTTAAATGTGCTACTGCAAATAAGAAATGCATTTCTTTATCCTTAGAAGTGAAATGTTTTGACTTTATGAGAGATAGTTAAAGGGCTCTGAGTCCAAACTAATTAAAGTTGTAACAAACCATTTGGATTTTCTAGATGATATCATGAGATTATTATATTTTGCCTCCGACAGGAATAAATAAAACGTATTTTACCAGACAAGAGGGTTAAATTAATTAGTGTGCTTATAGTCAGGGGCGGAGCCAGAAGGGTGGCCGGAGTGGCAAGCGCACCTGATTGGCCCACCCCAAGACCCTCAAATGATTTACAAGTGGTGTGGAAATCTCATGTGGTATTTCGGGCAGTTAGAGCGGAAAATTACAAAATATTTGTCAAGCACCTGCATTGTCTGGTGTAGCGAGAACCTATCAGAGTGATGAAGAAAAATAATAACTTTTCTGAACCACAGAATTGATAGAAAACAACAATTGTGTGCAAAATCCCATGGCTTTAAGAACCAGTTAATATAAACTGGCAAACAGAGGCTAGTCTGTAACATGGAAATAGAATGGAGCGACTAGAAGAGTTCTTTGTGAAACACTGACAGGCACTGCTATGTGCCTCTATTTTAAATTTATGATTTAATTGTACTATTATTTTATTTTACTTTTAATGCCCTGTGCTATGTATTTAAGTGTTTTGCTTTTAGAATTTTGTTGATGTACAATATGTGCTTGATAAAAGTGATATAAGTTTTTTGATGTGTTTTATTTTAAATCATGTTTGATTCATGTAAAGTGTCTGAGTTTTTAGAAAAGTGCCATACAAATAAAATGTATTATTATTATTATTATTATTATTATTATTATTATTATTATTATTATTATTATTATTATTATTATGTTCGTGATTGCAGCTCCAACCACACCAAATTTCAGATTATGTCTAAACATGGCTGAGTTTTAGCCAATGTAAATTACCAGTGGCAGCCATCTTGGATATTCTTTATCCGTATGCGTGCCCCTAAAAAACACCTTGGCCACCCCCTTGCAAAAATGTCTAGCTCCGCCCCTGCTTATATCGTAACTCCTGAAATGAATTGTCTGTACCAGGATCTATTTTATTCTAAGGTAAACTGCAGCCTTTAGTTATTATCATTTTCAAAATACAAAATATTCCAATGTTTTTAGTCTAGAATATTTTTAATATGTACATCATCTATGATTAAATAACCCTAAACACATAATTCAACTAAAGTCTACCACATAGTTTGTAACAAATGAGCAAAATCAGTTGTTTTGTTTTGTTGCCAACAACTATAAGTCATTTGTTTACATTAAAATATTAACGAGTACAACTAATATTGAATCAGTAAAATATTTCCTGATGTAAACAAAATCATATAGAGAACAACACAATCAGATCGAGTGGTGGAGTGCATTTAAACAAAAGTTATGGCTAAGAAATGCTGTGATGTTCCAAACTCTAACTGGGTGAATTTCTTTAAATGATCATCAAAGGAGAGGAATATTTTCTGTTTTGTAACATAACTGCATGGATAGAAATACTGAAATAACTCAGATTGCAAAAACTGCTAGTGAACCATAACTTCTTTTTTCCACCGCTGAATGTTAAATGTTACCTTGGATAACCCATGTTCATCTCTTGGATCTGTTCAGGAACTAGTGCCGGGCTGCAGGTGGTTCCAGTAGGTTTCCATCTGGGCTTGATGTTTGCTATCGCCTGTCTGCTGCCAAATATTTTTTAACTCAGAGGAACGATCGCTCTGTGCTTCAGCATCATCATCATCATCATCATCAGTGGAAAGATGAGAATCTTCTTCTTATGCAACTGTTCATGAGAAGTTGTCCAACAAAGGTTGTTGTAATTTTCAGGCAAAAAAATCTGTATCTTTGTACAAATTTTATCAGCACACAAAGATCTTCCAATTTGATCTATCTTCCAATTTTGCTTTTGTTATATACAGTAAATATGTAATAAATGGTTTGGGTCATAAGTGTTGTTTTTGTTTGAGTATGCTTATTCTTTTTCTGTAGAAACTTTAGGTTATATTGTTTATTTTTATTCACATGGGAAGAGTTTAAAGGTGTTTATTTTCAGTTCTTGAGACTTTTTCACTTTGTCTTTATGCACTGTCTATACATTAATTTGAAAAAGATGTAAATATTTTACAATTTATGAATAAAGACTTTTAAAACTGTATTTGTTCTCATTTAAAATATTTGACATCTGGGTTACATTTAAAATTGTTGGGACAAGAAAATACATTTGATGCATGGAAAACTTGAATGTTTTTTTCATAGATCAAAGGTTTTACCATACATGTTTTGGGACAGTTCTGCTTTTAATGCTACTTTACAGTTATAATTGGTGTGAAACAAAAGTCAGCAATTTTTATGATTAAAATGAAATACATTTAACCATTTCTTTCACAACATACATTTACTCTAAAATTAAAAAGGCATAGTTAACAATTAAAGTAAAGAAAACGCAGCTTATAAAGTTTTGTACATGTGCAAAAACTACAGTTTATTTTTTTATGTGGTTAAAATAACAGCAAACTAACATTTCATATATTAGTTTGCTTTGAAGTAATATATTTTAAAAAGTAATAATGGTGGTTCAAGTATTTTCCACAATGCTGATACAGTTTTTAGTGCCTAACACTTATAAAAACAACACAGACTCTGCACATGCCGAATGGCTCCCCAGAGCCTCCATAAACAGTGAGGAAAAATAATTATTAGATCCTCGCTGATTTTGTAGGTTTGCCCTGGTGTTAAGAGCTGCGTGATCTCAACATATACACACAAGTTAAAATCAGGTGTGTCTGAAATGACATCAATCTGTGTGGGAGACAAAATTCACCAAAAGTCAGTCTTTGTGTTTTTGTTCTGAGTTTTTGTTAATATTATGCGTCTCTCCATCAGGCTGAGAGTTTCAAAAACATCTGAAGTGTTCATTTTTTTTTATTAAAGAGAGCAAACTTATAAAATCAGCACTGGATCAAATATTTGTAAACCTTTATATTATTCTGCATGAATCATAGCTCCTGCAGAGTAGAGGATTGTGGGTATTCACCAACTATTAGGTTGAATGATAAATGGTTAACAAAGGTTTTTTTACCTATTGACATCAAAACCCACACATTTCAATACAAGAGAAAGTGAAAAGTAATAATATTAATAATAAATATAAAAGGAGCAGTTTTGTTCACAACTGTCAGTATTTTTCCACTATATCAGAATAAAATCATAAAAGAAGCAATCTATTCAAGAAAAAAAACTGATACCTGATTGTTTTATGTTTCAGACACTTCCTCTTGGTGGCAATGACATGCTATTACAAGTGGGTATATTTGTGAAGCACCAGTGCTGAAATTTAATTACAAACTATAAACAGCAGACTTAACGTTATTGTCTAGTAACTTGTGATGGATGGAGTTGATTGAGAGCTTCCAGTCATTCAACCTGTGCTGTACCTCTTCCTAATCTTATCCATCCTTGTCACATCCAAAGAGAACCTTGTCTTCTTCTCTGCCACTTCCTGTTCGGTCTTCTGTCAATGCAGCTGGCTCCTGGTCTCACTGCTCTGTTGGAAACCTTTCATTTGGCCTTTTCTGTCACCCTTTTATCACAAATCACTGCTGACCTTTTTCTCCATTTCATCCTGCCTGGACTCCCTTACTCACCTCTTTACCACACCCCCCATTTTCCTGGACAGTCTTCCCTATCAGCTAAAGTACTTTAAGTCCTGCACCTATGGGACCTTTGCTTGTAGCCTCACTGGTCCACCTGCCATACCTCTCATTTACTCACATCTGAGCTCTGCATATTTGCATTTGCCATATACAACTTTTAAGACCAGCTGAAACAGAGTGAGACTACATTAAACTGGCCCCTGCAACCCAGCCTGAATAGAACCGGTCTGTGGGTTCCAGAAATCACACTGGAAGTGGGCCATGATTGCAATTACAAACAGGCAAAACCTGAACCTTACAATGCAAAACTGTCATTAGTCTGTCCGTCATTAGAGCAAATAGGAAGGTGGTCAGTCAATTCTTGTTGTACCACCTCCACCTTCTGTCACTTCTACGGGATATGTCATCACTGTCCTGCTGTCATCTTGTCCTCAATCAGTCTAACATATTTGTTTTCCACTCCAGATTCCTTCATACTTCCTCAGCACCGGTCGTGTTGTTATCCCTAACTTCATAAATGAGCATCAATTCTTTCTAACTCTATCTGACTTCTCCATCAACGTCTTCAAAGCACCTGATGGTGTTTGCGCTGCTCTTTAGCATGAAACCTTACTTCTACTCGTCCTGATGCATCTCAGTAATCCAGGTAAAAAATCAAAAAGAAAAAAATTGTATAGGTCTTCTGGACGGGTTCTTCTCTAATGAAACGTTTCGTCTCTCCTCCAAGACTTCAGACTGAAGAAGTTTTTGATATCCTATAAGTTTTCATTGAAGAAGCTTTCAACTTTAGGAGATGTATTATAGAGGCATTCAACCATGGAATTTTATTTTTCCGGACTGGAACTTTACAAGTTGAAATGTATTTTTCCTGTATTGTCTCTGACTTATCATAAAAATTTGACAAAATGCGATTTGGATTTGACAGAGAAATACCCTCATTCCAGTTAGTATTCTCAATCTCAGGTTTCCAAGTGCTTCCTCTCGCAAATGCTTCCTGCTCCTTCCGGCTGAAGACATGGAGGATGCAAATCGTCCTGGAAAGAGGTCAATTTCATAATTTTAAAATGATTTTCCACCAGACATATTTATAATTATTTAATCTTTCAAGTCTCTAGAATAACCCTCCCCCCAAAAATTGTACCTAGAATGAATTTTTTTTGTTAATGGGCTTATTTCTGTAAGTTGCAACAAAAGTTGTCAATGGGCATGTAGCTTGTCGCTAAAGGAAAACACTGTCTGCAGGATTGTGTCTAATTTACTTATTTCAAATTGCAGAATGATGAACAATGTCTTATTTTAGCCTTCTTAGGATACTCTTCCTAGCTAAATAAATCCATAGGTATTCAAGGCCTGTGTGTATAGCTTGTAAAAGATACCACACAATCTGATACAGCTATCTTTATGGGGACCTGGCATTGACTTCCATTAATTTCTACAGCCTAACCCTGACTGCCAACCCTAAGGCTAACCTCACCTGACCCTAAAACTAACCTAAACTCAACTCACACCTTAGCCCTAATCTTGACCCCTGACCCGCCAGCGGTGTTTCCCCTTATAGACAAGATTCAGGTCCCCATAACATTAGGTCCCCACAAGTATGCGTATATGCCAAAAAACTGTTCCACAAAGTAGGGAATACCAGTCCACAAATAAATCCCCTTTCACTTCTGGTATGTTTTTATGTAAGCATTTTTCATAAAATAATAGGTCCACATAAAAAAATCAATCATGTATGTGTTTTTTTTCCTTAGGCAGGTCCTACACTGTAGCAGAGGTCCTGGCCATGCTGCAGGATTCTGCAGGACTCAGGAAACTGTGGCAGATGCACATCATTTGCGTGTGAAAAGTGTGATGTGCCACTATCTGTGGAGTGCTTCAAGAAGTACCACACTAAGTAGAACATGCATGAAAGATGATGGAATTTATGGGATGAAATATATACATGTATGTGTTGATAGAGGTTCTAAGTAAAAAAGTAAGTTTTCTAATGAGTATAAAAATTTGAGAATAAAAAACAGTTCAAATTGTTTGTTGTTTGGAATTTTAAATAGGAGGAACCTGAGGCTCCACATTTTTATTATTTATTCTGACCACATTATTATTTTGTTATTACTATTAGTTCTCTATTATGAACAGGTGACATTGGACCTAGTGACAAGCTGTGTGACCACTGGCAACAATTGTTGCCGGTCATAAAATACTATTGTCTTCGAAACAAAGCACAAAATGGTGAAAATAAATGCATAACATGATTCAGATGGACTCAACTGATAAAATGATATGCCTTACAACTATGAAAATAATGGGCACAAATGGGTTAATCTCCCCCCAATGCTGTTTTTTATACAAACTAAAAGGGAAATAGACAATGATTGTGTCATTATTTTATATATTTATTCTGTCAAAAGAGACCTAGGACGCCAAAGAGTAGGTTATTGAACACAGAAGTGTTTTTTATTTTATTTTTCTTCTTCTGTAATCTCTCATATTTAGTTGATTTGTTGTCTTTTCATGAGTGTATAAAATATTCACAGAGGAAGAGGCGAGTCTCGATTCCGCTGCGTCTAGTGGAAGGAACGACGGTCACGTGACTGATGACGTCACCGACGAAATGGCAGCCTCCGCATTTGTGAATTGACACACGGTCCTAGCTGGTAAACAAAAAGTGCTTCGATTTCCAAGAGGAGAATCGCTCCCTCAAAGGCGGAAGGCCTGGGTGTGTATTCAGCATTTCTCTGCCTGACTGTGTGCGGTTCGTTTAGTTTAGCTAGAGAGAGTTTTGGAGAGGAAACCTGCGGCTCACAGATGCGATTTCTGCAGGATGTTGAGTCTGTTTTCACGACAGACGGTCGGTCATACGTCGTCTATTAAAGCCGTAGTAAATGCCTTTACTTGGGCCTATAAACATGGGTGATAACAGCTTACCACACCCACCATCAAATTCAACAGCGAGACTGAATATATTAGTTTGGTTTGATCGATATCGTGCCTACCCAGAAACAAAAACAAACTCCCACACACGTGCTTCGGTTTCTGCCATTCTTTTCTTTTACACAGAATAATAATTCTAATAAGTCGTGACTGTTTAGCTAGCTAGTGATTTATATATTGAATGAAAGTGATTCATTTGGTGCCAACTTGTAAACAACAACAACATCGCATGTAGATCTTTCAGCCAATAGGAGAGCTCATCGATGTAGAGTAGTGCAACGTGATTGGTCAGTTTTTACATCAAGTTATTTCACGCAGCTATTATTGTGATAGTACATAATTGCACTGTTTCTGTTCGTTTTAGGAGGTTGTTTTTTGGAAATTGCTCATATAAATGTTTTACTTTTTATCAGAGGCGAATTATTATTATTATTATTATTATTATTATTTTATTTTTATTTTTATTTTTTGCTTGTGCCTGTGTGTCTGCAATTAACATTTGGAATCAACCCAGTTCAATATGGCTTCCATGTCTGAGTAAACATAAAAAGTGTCTATAATTCAGTCAGTTTTACAGATGTTAAGCTAAGATTTAATTTGGTTGTAGCACAGACTTGTTCCCAATACACACTCTAAACCAGTGGTTCTAAGCCCTGGTCCTGCATGTTTTTTTTTTGTTTCCCCAGCTCTTCAGTAGGTTAATCATACATTAAAGGGAGCCATGTTTAGTTGTAATACTAGACTATGTGATAAACATATATTTTAACTGTAAAATAAAAATTGTATAAATACTGTGGGATGTTCAGTTTTTTATCATTTTTAAAATAAAAGTTTAAAAATATATTACACGGACAAGGCCATTTTATTTACAACCAAAGCAGTCGTGGATAGGTCATCGGTGTGAGGCTGCTGGTGAGCTATATCCACCCTGAAGGTTAATCTTGGACAATATCTGATGATCGACTCTTTTAAATGAAACCAGAGAGCGTTGACAG